TTTTTTTTTTTTTTTTTTTTTTTTTTTGGTGAGTGCCTAGCTTGACGCAGTCCAAACTCAAATCCCCAGAGGACTGAGCTCTGTCTTTTGTGTTAATGTTTAAAAGATTTTCCAGTGCTGGAGTTTATTCCTACTGCAAACATTTCTATTTACAAGGTCAAGTGTATCAGCACTCGACACAGCTTAAGAGTGTAATTATTTATCTAAGGGCGTTTGAGTGTAGATCAGTAGCTCTGGCAGCAAACCAGGCTTCAGCACGATGCAAAGCAACTCCTAAGCACAGTATTACAAGATCTAGTAATTGCTGTGTTTACTTTTGCATTCTTCGTTGTGGGAGAAGGCAGGCTGAATAGCAAACTTTGCGTTTTGTTGCAGCCGCCTTGATGCATGCGCGGGCCTTGTTCGAAACGCTTGCCACCTCTGTGTGATGTATTTCTCACCACTTGTTTGCACGCCTAGAAGCATTTCTACAAGYGCCAGTGAGAGCAACGTGCCTTCACGGAGAAAGCGCGGTGCACTAGTAATTCCACACATATATACACRGGAGCAGTGTCCTTGAATTGCTTTACTCTCCTCTGGCACCGACAAGTTACCATGCCAACGCATTATAAAATCAACCACTCATTTAAATTAGTACTTTCAAAGCTGTATTTACTTCTTGCATGTAATTATTCATTAAAGTAAGAATAGCAGTAATTTACATCTATGTGAAGTATTACAGGCAGACAGAGATTTTCGCTTTTTGACTGTTTTTTTTGGTTTGTTATTCTGTGGTTTGATCCCCGCCTCTCTTCCCCCACCCCCACACCTCGGGTGCTGAGAGTTCAAGTGTCCCTGGAAAACAATTTCATCACATCCATTATTTAAAGCTCTTTCTTTACTAATTTACACGTTTAGAAAATACAAAAAGCCATACATATTTAAAACACAGGCCTTTTTTATGCCTCCTATAAAAAATACAAGGTTTGAGGCAGCTCAAAAACGCATTTATACAATTCTAAAACGTTCATAAAACCTCTCCAAATAGGAAAGTTAACTTTCAATCTGTAAAATACACTGTACATTTGATGTTCTAGAGAATACTTCACTTAATCACTGTTGCTGGTATCCCTTTRAAGTGAAATCTGTACCTTTTCCAGAAACGAATACCAAATGCAGCTACCTGGCAAATAGGATGTGGAATTAAAACTTTTTATTATTTTTTTTWAAATAAATTATCCCCAAAGCATACAATTTATAGAATTCTATATACAATGAAGAGCGACTGGTAACAAATCCCAGTTTTAAATACTTTTTTTTTATATAAGATTTACCAGAGGTCAGCACCCTGATATGACGAGGCAATAAAACTTTTCAGGATATTTGTACATACATGTTCTCGAGTTTAAAAGTGTCTTTCAAAGATGGCAGTGCAGAGCTCTTTTAAAACAAAAGTTGCATTGTTCAGTATAGCCAACAACTCCGAAACAATTTTTTTTTAATGTCGCTAGGTTACAAGAGGAAGAGACGGCTGCTGGCACGCTTTTGTTATAGGGAATATATGTGTGCAAGAGGGAGTGCTGTAAACCACCGAATTTATTCAGTCTGCTATTTCCCTAAATTTAATTAATGGCAGATGCGGCGTAAGCCCCTTTCGGGCACCACTGCATCACGAAGAGCAAGACGCGGCTAACGATAATCAAGTTGCTGACTAACTAGTACGGCAACGCTTTGGCAGCAAGTTTGGGTTGCTCACCTCTTACTAACCTTCATGTCAAAACGCTTAAAAGACCCTCAGTACCAGCATGCCATGACTCCCGGTTTGACCCGGGGGGCGGCCAGCGGCCTCGCCCGCAGTCTCTGTCAGCCGCTCCGCTCGCTGGTAACACGAAGGCAGGGTGGCAGCAATTGCATAGTGCACACTCGAGACCACAACACCCGAAACACGAGCGGCCCCTGCGCTCCGGCCACCGCTCCAGCGGCCGGCTCGCAGCGCCGAGCCGGGGAAAGGGGTCGACCGGGAGCTGCTAGCAGCAGCGGGAGCAGATGGGGAGACGCGAGGGGACGGGGCGCCGGGGCGATGGGTCGGGGAATCCACGGCCAGAGCGTTTAAAGCCGCTCCGGTCCGGGGGGCCCCGCCGGCCGGATCCCCGGCCGCCACGGGAAGGCTCGACTAGAGGCCCGTGGCGGCTCGGCGCGGGGGGCCTGGCCCGACCCGGCCCGGCGATGGGGACGGGGAGAGAGGCAGTGGTGGAGGGAAGCAGTGATGGGAAGCAGGCRCAGAGGGATGAGGCAAGGCAGGGATGCTAGAGCCGCGGCAGCAGCGGCACCAAGATGGAGGCRAGCAGAGCCCCGGCAGCCCCGGCGGGCCGGCCGGCGCTACCCGCCTGCACGGGGAAGCCGGGCTCGGCGCCCGCATTGTCCTCGCCGTCGTCCCTCCCCTTCTGGCTCGGCTCCTCCTCGTAGTCCTCGTCGTAGTACTCCTCCAGGCCGCCGTCCGAGCCGCCGCTGCTGCCCGCGCCGTTGCCGCCCATGTCGGCGCCGAAGCAGAGGCGGGCCATGTTCTCCTTGACCGACTCGCAGATGGGCCGCTCCAGCCCGTCGCAGACGCAGTCGTTGAGCAGCACGGCCTTGGGCACGGCCAGCATGTCCTCGATGACGGCGCGGCACTCGGGCGTGCAGCGCAGCCCGTTGAACAGCTTTCCGCAGTAGGTCATGTAGCGGCTCAGCGCCAGGCTGCAGCGGCTGTCCCAGTCGCAGCGCCGCCGCGCCTCCGTGCAGCCCATGACGCCGGTGCCGCCCGGGCCGGGGCCGCCGGGGCCGCCGCCCGTGGGGCTGCTGGTGCGGGGCAGGCAGGGCTCGATGGCGCGCTTGGTGGCGCGGCAGTTCTCGTCCTGCGCGCAGTCGCAGTCCTCCAGCGCCGGGCCACGCCGGGTGTGGTTGAGCTGGATGAGCGCTGCGATGCAGTGGCTGGGGCACCGCCGCCTGGAGGAGGCGGCCGCGCCTGCAGCGCCCRCCGGGCCGTCCCCGCCGCCCGCCGCCGCCGGCTGCTGCTGCAGGAGCACCGGGGCGCACGCCTCGGCGTACTGGTTGTACGCGTAGCTGCACTCGGGCTCCCCCTGACACTGCAGCACCGCCTGCCAGCAGATCAGTCGCCGGCCCTGCACCAGCGAGCCCCGAGGCGGCCACACAGCACCCAGCGCCGCCGCCAGCCACAGCCAGGCGGCCGCCCGCGGCCAGCGCCGCCCGCTGCCGCCGCCTCCGTGCCGAGCGGGCGAGCGGGCCACCATCGCGGACGGGGGTAGCGGCTGCTGCCGCGGGCGAGCTGGAAAGAGGCGCTGGTAGACGTGGAGGAGGAGGAGGAGAAGGAGCTGCCGCCCGTGGAAAAGTTTCCAAAACTCCCGCCGGCCGTGTGCATGAGGTCTCGCATCAATCCATGCGCGCCGGGCCCGGGGCCCTCCAGTCCCCGGGGGCTAAAGCCGGCGGGGCCGCGGTACGAAGCAGGCGCCCGGGGGCCTTCCCGTGTCCCCCAGCCGCTGCTCCGGGCTCGGCGAGGCGGCGGTGAAGGCGCCCGGAGAGGTGCGGGGAGTCAGTGCAAACAGGGGCTCGGACGACAGCGGATCCGGAGTGCGCTCGGGGAATCGCAGGCTGCGCCGAGAGAGCTCATGGTGCTGTCCTGCTCTTTATGCAGTTCCTTCTCCTTTTTTTTTTTGCCCACAAAATAAGTGCCCAGCTGCTGCTGCTGCCTCCTCGGGAGCTTTTAACTCTCCGCTCGCAGCATCTCTGCACATGCCAGCCGCTCCGATCCCAGTCACAGTCCCGKCTCCGCTCACTCCCTCTCGGTACGGATCACGCTTTCGGGTGGCGCGGAGAAGCAACGTCTTTCCCCGCTAGCAAGACGAGAGCACGGGGAAAGAAGAGGCAGCCTTCGCGGTCTCTTTCTCTCTGGACGACTGATGTTGCTTCTGTTGTCAAAAAGCCCTGCAAGCTGCTCTGCGGAACCGTCTGTGGATCTTTTTTTCTTTGCAAGGCTTTAAATACAAAAGTGCCCTCCGAGCAGCAGCAACGTGCTCTGATTAGGCTTCATTATGCATGCATGGAAAAGCAAACAAACAAAAAAAATTAGCAACGCTTCTTCTTTTACACATCCCCCCCAGCCTGCGCTCTCTCGCTCTCTTTCTCCCTTTCTCCACTTTTTTCTCCCTTCGCTCGGCCCCCTTTCCCTGCCTCGCCACTTGCCATTGGCCCAGCCTGTTGTTGAAACCCTTTTTTTTTTTTTTTTTTTTTTTTTTTTTTTTTCTCTCTTTTTTTTTTTTTTTTTTTTCTTTTTTTTGTTTTTTTTTTTTTTTTTTTCCCTCCTTCTCTTTACGATGTGCTGGAGGGAGGGAAGGAGAGAGGGGGGCTGGAGGGCAGCTCACATTCAAAGCTTGAAAGGAAAGGCTTAAGGAGAGTGACAGCCCCCCGAGGAGCCCCTCCTCCCGTTAAGGCGGCGCAGCGGCCGGTCGAGAGGCACTCAGTGGCGGCGGCGCGGGCCGCGCTGCGGGACCGGCCGGGCGGTGGAGGAGAGCGGCGGGAGCGGCGGCCGCGGGGTGCTCGCAGCACCGCGCTGGGAGCGGACGGCGTGGCTCTCCGCGCTGTTGTTGCAGGCGTGTTGCTCTGACACTGGTCCTGCTCCTTACAAAAAGGGGGAGGGGGGGGGCGCGGGGGGAACCAAGTTCTCTAGCGCGGGTGACGCGTGTACCCAAACTTCCCAGTGATTCAAGTGAGGGCAGAGTCGCTACCTCAAAGGTAGGGAGGATCAGGGTCAAAATGGGACCGACTTTGTTCTTACTGAAATAGAGAGGTCCTGGTTTCAATGTGCTAGGACTCTTCGGGAGAGCAAAGCTAGCTCTACTAGTGGTGTACTGCGACTATGTAAGTACTCCTTTGCTATGCCTTCAGTATTGCAACTTTCCACTTGCTAAAGACCCCACTGATTTTGCAGTCATTCAGCTCAACTTACCGCCTGAAGTTTTTGTGCTTCGTTTTAATACGCTGACTTATGAGGGTGCTTGTTGGCAGAAATATAGTAAATCCCACTATAGTTCTTTGATACTTGATCTGCGAACAAGTAAAAAGTTTTGAAAAATATGTTAAGTGTTTTCATGGATCGCAAACTGCTTTGCTGAAGTCCTGTCTTCTTGTTACTTTCTGTTCGCTTTGCTTACTTATAAGGAAGTAGAAACAAAAATATTAAGGCACAAGGCGAGGAGCATAACAAAGTAAGTAGTGGTGCCTTTTTGTGTGCCCATTGCCTTTCGTTTCAGCGCTACCTTAATTCCAGAACAACATCGTCTGCAGCCACAAGGGGCATCGGTATCTGCTGCCTGTCAAAACTGGCGCTTTTTTCATCCTGAGACTATCAACTCCATCTGTCACAAAAATTGGGGCAAAATGTATTTTCCAGAAACTCGAGGATCTTGGAATTCCATGTGGTGTGCAATAATGTGTGTCTGAAAGTGCGTGGATTGTGGAATGGGGGTGTGGTGTGGCTGGGAGTCAGTATGATTGATAGGTTGAGATGCATTCGTAAGGACTTGCTCCATTGTCATCAGTTTTACAAGCTGCTTGTGTTTTTTCTTCAGTGTGGTGTTTCCTATTCTTGTGTAAAAGCTGTGGTTTTTAATCTGCAAAACCTACATTTAGAAACGCTGCCTCCATCCACCTAGTTTAGAGCTCTTTCTTTTAACTCTTGCTGAATAGTGGTATTAAAAATGCCAGATGCCATTCAGGCACGTTGCAGTAAACGCGCATTGCGACTTACACTGGGATCGTTCATGCGCTACTGTGTTGCCCTGTTCTCTGATCATAACACTGTTACTGGTGGAAATCAGAAAGTTTGGGGGGTCTCGGTTGGAGATGACATTGCAGGTGCTGTTCAAAGTTCTGCTGTGTTTGCCTCGTTCCTAGGGAAAATGGTCCACGGTGCCATTGGAGGGAAAGAGGGCCTGGGTGTTGCAGTGTTCTACACATAAGAGTCTGAAAGAGGGGCTTGCAATGAATCAGGAYCGTACCTTGGGGCCTCCTTAGCTTCCCCAGCATCGGAGAGAGGAGTGGCTATGTGTCCCAGAGGGGCTGCATTTTAGGGACAGCTGCGTGATGAGCTCTGCCCCCTCCCAGCTCCTGCCTTCATTTGCAAAATCCATCCAGCTCGGCTGTGCTTCGTTCCTGGAGCAGAAAGCAGGCTGTTTACTCTGTGAGGAAAGGCAGCAGCTGAACTTCGGGCCTCCCAGGAGGGGGAGTAGAGGAGCCTTCATTGCTGGCCTTGCATCCTTATGTGGCTGGGAAGAGGATGCAATGGTGCTGATTGAGCAGGAGGAGGATCAGTGCCTAGTCCCACTGGTCCTAGCAGACTTCCCTGGCTKGGGACTTCATTTTGTGTGCTGCTCTGAACAGCAGGGCATGGCATGAGGCATTGMATTACTGGTAGAATTTTTCACATACAGCTTTTAGTTAAATAAATGAATATATAGCAATAATAATAATGGAAATGTTGACCCTGAAGTTTGGAATTCTCTTCCGTATCATACAACTGACAAAAATTGTAACACCTTTTAGCCATATGATCATCTACATTCAGGATTACATATTGCCAATAAATTAACTTCTTAAAATGATTTAAAACGTTTGTCCTGTCTTTATTTAATGAGCGTTTGAATTCTGTCTATGTTTGTAAGTACTGTATTGGGTGAGGCTTTGAGGCTCAAGTGCCTGTTTGGGGGACACAAATATTTTCTTGTGTGTAACTTAACCTAGGGAAATAATGCTTTGGCCCCACTTTGATCCAAGTTTTCTAACAACCAGAATGATGTTGTCAAATTCAGCTTTTCAATTTTCAGACTAGCTATGAAAGCCACCAGTGGAAGGTGGCTCTTGCTCTGTTTCAAAAAGCACCAGATTGGACATGACTCAACACATTCCATGACTTGACTGTAGAATGAGATCTGCTAGCTTTCTGAATTCCCATATTTGCTAGGTTTTTGTAGACCACTGTTTCGTGTCTCAGCAATTAATTTGTTTCTTTATACCAGCTCTTCAAATTACTATATAGTAACTGTCCTCAAGTCATTTTGGCAACCAGAAAAGCCAGTATGTATGTGATTTACTGGAAAGACTCCTGGCCACCTTTTTGTCTCTTCCTCATGTCTTTTCCCCTTTTTAAATTTCACACCTTTTCCCAATGGATCTCCTTTCCAAATTGTATTTKCTTTAGCTCTTTCTTTGACCTATTTTACATTAAGAGTGTTTATAAAGTAAGAAAATGAGGTAGACACAAAAMCAGTTGACCTTAGAATTTAGCAGTTCACATTCAATTGTAATTGAAAATACCTGGCCAGTATATGTGGTTAATTAATYTCAAACTATTTTTGAGCACATTTCTTTTATTGGCTTATATTGATTTCTTTTTTCATTTTAGGAGATTTACAACTGCTACTGAAACCTTCTGACAGATGTACTGTTAATTAATTCACTCATGCTATTTCAGTGTGTGCATCTGGTAGTATCTTAAATATGTACTTGATAGGGATACCCAGTGAGAGAGCAATTTTTCTTTTTCAGYTGGGACTGAATTCCCTGGTAATAGTAGATTTCACCTGCCAGCAGAAGGCAGAAACTCTGCCAATAGTTCTCAGAACCTTGATGTTGTGGTGCATGGGGGTCGTGGTAGGCAGCAAAAGTCCTGCTTCATACACCAGGATTCATCCACAGGAATGGCCCGTAAAGGTGCCACTCAGGATAGCCTGTGCAGGTGACTGAATACCAACATGTGCATGCAGCATGSTTCTTGGATTCGATGCACCTTCAGAGACCCATAAATAATAATGTCTGCAGTCTAAAGTTACAAAAGAAAAAGGTTGTGACTTACCAGATTCCCGGCATAAAGTGGGGGTAGGGGGATGAATATAATATGTTCTCAAGTGGTATCTGTTTCCTTAGAGAAGAGAAAGTGAAGGCATCTAAATTYGGTTCTTTCTCCACATCTGGAATAGTTTATCTTTTTATTGTCTGTGCAGGACCATTTGGGATATTCATAAATTAGCCACCTAAACTAGATATAATTCTCTCCAAAATAGTATTTTTTTCTTTACTAGAATGTATATGACTTCCCAGTGTGAGCCTACCATCTCTTCTTGCTTTAGTCAGAAAGAAAAATAATGAACAGGGAGGATAGTAAGTAATTGTATTGACCAGCAGTTGCTCCATTGAGTTGAAGCTCATAGCTGCTGAGACTGTAGCTGTTCATAGCTGCAGAGCTGCTGTAACTAATCATGCTGTAGGATCTTAGACAGTGTTCTGTTGGCCATTCCTTTTTGAGGTTGTCTTTGCCAGTGCTAAGTCTTGTGAACATTGCAATAATATGGTCCTGCAAATGTGCTGTAGTGGTTTGCTGCATACATAGAATCATAGACTGGTTTGGGTCGGGAAGGGCACTTTAGAGATTATCTTTGATGACAACATAAAGGTGCCCTTGGTATTGCAAARTCGTAGCTCAGGTCCTACACTGGATGCGTGAATAGCTGATGAACTATAGGTCTGGTTACAGTTGGAAGAGCCACTTGGATTCAGAAATAGCACAGTTCATTGAGTGCAATGTAGAGGGTTCCTCTGGATTGCTGGTGATACTGCATTAACTGCAGAGTAGCTGTATATAGCAGTAACAATGCAATTGCAATCACAAGCTTTACATCTGGGTTAACACTCAGCACAGCTGAGGATCTAGGGCTTACGAAAAAGCGTCCCTTCTGGGGACTGCAAGGAAAGCAAAGCCATCAATCTGTCCTTGCAATTTCGCATTGAATTATCATCCCCTAATTAGATGCAAAATTGGGGTATATTTATAATCATTGCTGTGTGAAGTGCCGTGGATGGTACTGTGTATCAAGCCTTCCATTCTTTGTGGGTGCATTGTATGGAATATTTCTTTATAGGAGGTGTACTTGGTTTGTACAAAACATTTTTGGCTATCAGGTTGAAGAACAAGACTATCTAGACTGCACCTGGCTCCATATTCCCCCTTATCCCCCTATGCCATGGAAACTCAAATGACAAGATTTCGACTGGATTTCCTCACCTGCACTKCAGGCCCCATCACATACCGAGCTATGCCAACACCTGCCCATGACAAGGGGAGTTAGAACTAGAGATGGCCTTTTCAAGGTTTTTTGCTACCCAAACCATTTTATGATAGGCTGTGATTTAATTCMAAACACCCTGCAATAAACAGAGACATTTTCAATTGTGTCTTCAAGAGGTTGCTCAAAGMRTCATCCAACCTGACCTTGACTGTTTTCAGGGATGGGGCATCCACCACTTCTCTGATCAACCACTTCCATTATTTTATCACCCCCATTATAACAAATTTCTYCCTTATATCTAGTCTAAATCT